GCCTGGGCCCCGGGAGAGGGTGGTGGGAGCGGAGCGGGGGCAGTGCGGGGCTGGGATGCGGGCGGAGCAGGGCTGGGCCCCGGGAGTGACTGATGGCGAGTCTCCCCCGCTCTCTGGGGGCCTGTCCTCGGAGGGGCGGACTGGCCCCAGGCTCTCGGGCTGGGGGAGGGCAGGGCTTGGCGGAGCTGGGCAGACCGCTTCACTTTGTCAGGGTCCCTTCAGCCGGGGGCGGGTTCCCACCCTGTCTGGGAGCTGGAGAGAGAAACTGCCACCTTTTCCTGAGCCCTTCCCCACCCCCCAACCCAAATGAAACCTGGTCTGTGCAGGAGGCTGGGTCCCAGGTAGGGGTCCTGGGGTGGCTGGATGCTGAACCTGGCCCAGATCCACAGCCTCCCCGGGAAGGCCCGTCCTCTCAGGGGCCTCCTTTTTGTTCTGAGATTCTTGTGGGGGCTGCCAGTTTCTATGGAAACGGCATCTGGGGCCAGCTTGCTGGCTGGAGCCCTGGGTGCTGAGTCCATCCCTCTGGGGCTGCTGGGCTCTCACCGGGTCCAGGCTGCAATCATTGGTCCCAGGAAGCCCAGCCCAGATCACTGGGCACCGCAAGGATGGAAGGGGCAGGGTATTTGCTCACTGAGCCCCTTGGCCCAGGCCTGGTGTAGGCAGCAGATACGGAGGGCAGACTAGGGAGGGGGACATGGCTTTCCTGGGTATTTGGGGTGGCTGGTGCTTATGCTCTGGGTGGAACAGCTCTCCCCTCATGGAACCACAGGTTCAGTGTGAAAGGTGGCTCCAGACCTCTCTGAGAATGTTCCACCCACCCCTTTCTCCTCTGGGACATGGGTAAGGAAGTCAGTGTTGTCAGCTGGCATCCTCCACAGGGTCAGAGCTGGACAGAACCTTAGCGGTCATTGCCACTAAACCCCTCTGATGATAGGCAAGGAAACTGAGGTCTGGAAAGGGGGCCTCTTTGCCCAAGGTTTCAGGGCAAGTCTGGATGGACAGGAATCTGTGGTCTTGGCCCTGATCCAGGTGCACCCTCCCCCATCAGGCTATTCTTGTGAGAGGATGTCCCTGCTCGTCTTGCTGGTTCTGGGAGCAGGTCCCTGGAGGTAGCACCAAGGGCCATCCCTGGGAGCTTCCTGGAAGAGGCGGCTTTCTGCATAGATGGTCATCAGCAATAAAGCAGCAGGCTGCGCTGCACAGGGGAGCAACCAATGGGGCCAAGGGCTTCCTAGGTCCCTTCAGAGGCCAGAGCAAACAGGGCAGGGCCCAGCCATGGGTCCCTGGGTGTAAGGAAGACCCAGGGCAGGGGAGGGCTCTGCAGTGGGATGTGTGCCCCATATCCCCCTCCCCTAGCCCAGGGCCTGGCTCAGAGGTCACTGTTGGTCGAATCTTGAAAAACAAGCTTTTCCCTTACACATGGTGTCCCTGGACTGGCCTCAGTTTCCTCACCTGTAGAGTGAAGGTGGTCCTTGCTACTCAGGGTGGCAGTGAACAGTAAACCAGCTGGTGGGGAGCTCCTAGAGCAGGGCCTGAACATCCTTAGGCAGCACCTTCCTCCTTCGGGGCGAGGGCTGAGTTCAGGCAGGCCTGGCATGGAGCGTGGGCTCAGTGAGGGTGGTGACGGGTGTGTGGGTGGTTGTGCTTGTGAAACTCTGGGGGTGAAGGGGCTTGATGCCAAGGGGGCCTTTCTAGGAAAAGCCAACCTATGCCAGGTGCCTGCAAGGGTTCGCAGCAAGACCTGGCTGCGCAGGAGAGGGGCGGGCAGATGCAGAGCCTGCTCGGTGAGGGGTGAGAAGCTTTGTTTGGCAGGGGAGTCAGCAGCCACATTTAGGGGGCTTGTCAGTGTACAGGGAGATGGGATACAGGCTGTGGGTCGGGCACCCCATCCCCAAACCCCAGAAGAGGCAGCCGAAGCCAAGGGTACAGGAGCTTCCAGTGGCCTCAGGGCCACCCACAAGCCATGGAACTGAGGGCAAGCTGCCTGGCCGCTCTGAGCCTCAGTTCCCTCATCTGTTAGATGGGATCATAGTCAGCCCTCCTCATTCTGTGATGGAGGAGACTGATCTGAGCACAGATAGGCCTGGGGCAGCCCCTGCTGAGGAGGAGGGAGTTGCTGTGCTCCCAGATCACCTGTTCCTCTTAGGGGTAGTTTGAGAGATGTGCAGGAGGAGGAGATTTGGAGTGGGGCCCTGAGAGGTAAGCAGGAGTTCACCAGCCGAGCTTAGTGGGGAGGAGTGATGGTCACCCAGGGAGGGTGAGAAAGTCAGGAAGCAAGTGGGAGACAGGGTGGGGTTTGGACGGCAGGACAAGACAGGGGTGCAGTTGCTGTGGCTAGGCTGGAGTCCAGGAGAGCTTGATTTGCACCCCAAGGACAGTGAGAAGCTAGGTGGCTGGGAGATGAGAGAGGATGTTGGTGGGATCGGGATCCTGGAGAGATCCCAGTAAGAGTGAAGGCAAAGTAGCCCAGCAGCAGGTGGGCTGGCGGCAGAGATGAGCCGAGCCGGGTGGGGAGGGGTGGGGTGCTGCCTGCCTCCGACAAGGGCTGGATGGATACGTTGGGCATGGGATTCAGGTCCGGGAGGGCGGAGGCTACAGGCATCCTAGGGTATGAAGTGGCCTGAGGGATTGCAGTCCAGAGCAAGGCCCCAGAGATGACGGTGGAGGCGGGTGCTGCAGTCATACCCCAGGAGCAAGAAAGGGATGAGATCCCAGGCAGGGAGTGGAGTGTAGGGGACAGGACGGAGGAGCCAGCTTCAGATCCCAGCTGTGACGCTGCCAGCTTGCTCTGAGTCACATATGTGAGGGGGACGGTGCCACTTGTCTCAGAGCTGTGGTGGAGGTTGAATGAGGTGAGGTGTTTACAGCACCCGACACAGCCTGGCGGGTAGGAAACCATCTGTAAGCACAATTGTTGGTGTTGCTGTTTCTGTGATAAACTGTGTTATCCATCTGACCAGGGTCAGGGTCAGCGAGTGATCAGGGTTGGGGCTCAGCAAGTGACCAGGGTTGAGGCTCAGTGAGTGACCAGGGTCGAGCTCAGCTAGTGATCAGGGTCTGGGCTCAGTGAGTGACCAGCTCCGGGTTCAGTGCATGACAGGGTCAGGGCCCAGCCTATGCTGTGGTCAGGGCTTATTTGTGAGGGAAGTTGCTAGCAGTGGATGGTGCTGGACAGGCAGAACTGGTGCTGGAGGAAGGAAATCAGTGCAGAGCATTGGGAGAACAGAAGTGGGAGTTTGTGTGGTAGAACTGACCTAACCATGTGAACAAAGAGAAGCCCTGGGTGGGGGGACCCTGAAGAGACTCAGTACGAGGTGATGGGGTAGAGAGACCAGGGGCTGTTCACATTGAGTATTGAGATATCACCTGTGAGGTGGTGACAGCTCAGCTAAGAGAAACCACCCATGTGAAGGTCAGGGGAAGAGCACTAGGCAGAGGGCCCAGCATGTGCAAAGGGCCTGGAGCAGCTCGAGCTTGCCTGGGGAGCTGGTCTCCGGCACACGGCCACTTGCTCCTGCCTGCTCTCTGTGTCAGCCTCTCACCCTTGAGGTCTCCAGTCCAGCCCTCCCAATAAAGCCTGGAGTTTCCTGATACCCCTGCACACCCATTCTGTCACCTGTCCCCTCTCTATAGGGTCTAGAACCTGCCAGGCCAGGGCTTTCAGGAGTGACAAATGAGCCAGGCAGAGAGGAGGAGGGAGTAGGCGAGCAGGTGAGCGAGCTGGTGGGTGTGTGGCTGCCAGACCTAATGAGGACAGGTGGAAGCAGATGGCCACAAAAGTTGGAGCTGGAGCGAGCCACGGAGTAGGCATGAACCACTTGGCCACCCGTGACCCATGTGGCTGGCTGTGGACCAGCCCAGTGTCCTAGAAACATTTGCTAGGGTCACCTTGCCCCCCACTGGCCTCCTCCCAGCTGTGGGCCTCAGGGTATCCGTGGGTAAATTATGGGGTAATGGGATTCTGGTCCCTCGGACCCCCACTTTGGAGTCTGAGCTCTTCAGGGGAGCTTTGTGGTGGTGCAGAGTGCATACAGTTGGGGATGGCTGAGGTGCGAGAGGTAATCAGGCTTGCTTGGAGGAGGCTTCCTGGTTGAGCCTGATAGGTGGGCAGCGCTGCCCGCAGTTGTGGCATTCCCCCGAAGGACAGTGGGAGCAGATGTGCCCAGAAGTCACACCCATGCCCCATCCAGGGTGGCCAGGGCCTGAGGCCTCCCAACAGGCTGGGAGCAGCTGTGAGGCCAGCAGGTGCCCAGGCCTCATGGGAGGCCAGGGCTCAGCCTTGTAATGGGCCAGAGGTAGAGGAGACAGGTGTGCTGGAAGGCAGAACCTACTGACCAGAGTGCCTCAGGAGCTCTGCCTGCCCTCCGTATCCTGCTGCTCCCTGCCTGGGGAAGTGGCAGCTAGGACAGCCAATGGGCCCAGAGGGTGGGCCTCCTAGGTTACCCTGAAAGTTCAGGGCCAGCTAAGCCCAGAGCCAGGGGTGCTGGCCGTGGTCCTGAGCCCCCTTCCCTGGGCCCACCAGCAACCTGTGTGCAGACATTTGTGTTGGAGCTGCACCCTGGGCCATGTTCCTACAGATAGAAAGGTGTCAGCTTCTGGGTGGGGGACCCTAGGAAGCCCTTCCACTCCCAGCCATGTGGTGCCCCCCCATCTTTCCCAGAGCCGGGAAGGGCCACAGCAGTCTGCAGTCCCTGAGTGTTTGGGTTCTGGACGCTTCAGGCCTTGATCTCCCGTGTTAGTACACGCTGCCCTGCTGTGTGCCCCCGGCCCTGGGCACTGCAGGATGGTGTGGCCCGTGACATGGGCTGTAGGTGATGCAGTCACACGGGGTGAGCACGTGGGTGAGCACAAGCCAGGCCCAGGGGGAATGAGAAGGCAGGTCAGCCCAGGGCCTTCAGAGCCAGAGGGACCCGGGGGCGGGGACCCAGGGAGGGCCTCTAGTGGCCTTTTATAAACTACTCTGGCTGTTGCTTGGAGTAGAGCTTGAGGGGGCGAGATAAGGGGGTGGAGGGCAGAGGCCCTGCCGGGGCCCACCTGCATATCTGCCCAGCCCCTGCCCCTCACTCTGTTCTCTCCCCAAATCCCCAGAACATGGAGAAGGTGGTGGTGCCGTCTGTGACGCTCATCGTGGGCTGCGGCGTGTCGTCCCTGACCCTGCTCATGCTGATCATCATTTATGTCTCCGTGTGGAGGTGGTGTCCCCATGGCGCTGGGCTAGGGTGGCCAGGGGTCCTGGGAAGGGCTCCGCCAGGGTCACATCTCATTTCTTCTCCTTCGAACGCAGCCGTGGGGTGGGGGTGGCCCAGAGCCCCCCTCCTCTCCTTCCCAGCCAGCAGCACCCATCACCTCCACCCCCTCCCCTGCCCACTGCCATCATGGATGGATAGCACCCCCACCTCTACCTCTGCACCCCTCACCCCTCCATCTGCCCCATTCCCCCACCTGTGCCTGATCAGGTTCCTGACTGGCCACTGCTCCAGGGACACTGACAGGAGCGTGGCAGGTGGGGAAACCCAGGCTCAGGCCAGGGAAGGACCTGGATATGCCTTCTTGTTCCTGCCTCATCCTGGGCCCACACTTCCTCCTGCCTTCTGATCACTTTTCATGGCTGGTGCCAGCTGAACCTGCTCCCCAGCTGAACACCCTGCCTCTTGACCACTGGGGTCCTCACAGTCCCCAGGCCCTGGAGCTGTCTGTCTGGTTTGGGCCCATGGATGCAGGCAGTGGGGGGGAGAGGTGTGCCATGAGGACTGCTGTCTGAGCTGGTCACCAGCCTGGGGTGAGGGATGTGTGTGAAGGAGGAGGCACCAGGGGGGTCAGCGTCCAGTGCTCTTCCACCAGGCCCACAGGCCCCGAATCCCCTGTGGACATGCTTTGCCCAGCCCCTCCCCTGAGGTATCAGTTTCTCCAGACTCTGGGGAAGGGGCATGGGGCAGCCACACTGCAGTTCTGAAGTACCCATGGCTTTCCAAGTACCTCCTCCTGAGCTCTGCTGGCCATCACCGCCTTGGTGAGCCACAGCCAGGCCCCATCCTGATGGTCTGTCAGGAAGTGGAGGTTTAGCAAGGGAACATGACCCACCCAAGGTCACGTATCACATCAGGCCATGTCATGGCCCCTGAGGCTCTGCCCTGTACCCTCAGCTTGCCTCAGGCTGCTGAGGGAGGTGGGCTGGGAAATGGGAGCAGAAGTGATGGTGGCCTGAACTTTGTGTCCTTCCTCTTTAATTTTGGCCACAGCCTTGAGCAGTGGGTGCTATTACTCATAGCCCATCTCACAGAGGGAGAGACTGAGGCACAGACAGGTTGGATCACTTGCCCAGGGTTACACAGCCACTGTAGGCATGGGCTCCACATCCCCCACTAGGAGCCACTCCACCTTCTTGCCTCAAAGTCAGGATCAGACAGGGTGGGGATGAGGGAATAGGGGTGCTGCCCGGGTGAAAACTGGGAGCAGGCAGACAGATCCTAAGAGTGAGCTGTTCTGAGGGATGGAGTGACAGGGAGGAAATCCTCCATGACAAAGAGAAGCATTTTTAAGGATGAGCCATCTGCAGCCAGAGAGGGCAGCTGTGCTCCTGGCTCCCCACAGCTCTCCCTGACACCAGACTGTGCTGGAATTTAGTATGTGGTACAGTGGAAGTGGTGGTGGTGGTGGTGGTGGTGATGGTGATGGTGGTGGGTGTGGCAGTTATGATGGTGGTGGTGGGTATGGTGGTGATGGTAGTGATAGTGATGGCGGTGGTGGTGATAGTGGTGGTGGGAGTGATGGTGGTCACAGTTGTGGTCATGGTGGTTGTGGTCATGGTGGTGGGAATGATCGTAGTTGTGGAGGTGGGAGTGAGGGTGGGGGTGGTGATGTTGGGGGTGATGGTTGTGGTGGTGATGGGGGTGATGGGGATGGTGGTGATGGTGATGGTGGGGTGATGGTGGTGGTGATGGTGGTGATGGTGATGATGGGAGTGGGAGTGATGGTGGTGGTGACGGTGGTGGTCGGGGTGGTGACGGTAATGGTAGCAGCAGCGTTTGTAGGAAGGAAGTGACGCCTGGTCTTGGTGCAGCTACGGGACCTCAGTTCTCGTGACATGAGGCCCTGTTGGGCACTGACCACAGGCTCCCATC